TCCTTCTGAGTGAAAATGTACTTTAAGCTCTTATGATCAATGAAAATCTCACATCTGACGCCATACAGGTAATGACGCCAAATCTTCAAAGCAAACACAACAGCAGCTAACTCCAAATCATGCGTCGGGTAATTATTCTCATGTGGTTTCAACTGTCTCGAAGCGTAAGCAATTACCTGATCATGCTGCATCAAAACACATCCCAAACCTTTCAGTGAAGCATCACTGAACACCTGAAATCCTTCCATACCTGACGGAAGTGCTAACACTGGAGCTGAAGTCAAACAGTCCTTCAATCTCTAAAAACCAGCTTCACACTCCGGTGTCCAAACAAAAGGTACTGACTTCTGCGTCAGTCTCGTCAGAGGCGTCGAAATCTGTGAAAATCCCTTCACAAATTTGTATATTATGGAAACAACATCGTTATATCTGAGATATTCATAAAATCTAAGTTGTACGATAATTTTCAAGTACTCAAACAATTGTCAAATCTTAAAAACTTCATCATTTTTTTAAATATATTTTATAGTACAAGCAATCAAATACAATATATAGTGCAATTTTTCAAAGTAAGCATAATTAGCGAGTTAACTATATGATTAAGCATGGTGTTAAAAGAATTTAAATATAGGCAAAGTCGCTCATTTGAAATGCAACTTATGTCTAATCCAAAGAACAATGTAACAGATGATGTGGCAAGTAGATGACTTGACGTTATTCGTCCGTTTAACGGGTGACTTAGCCTTAGATAAGATTCTAACTTTCCCTTTCCTGATCATTCCTCTTCCTCTTTGCTATTTTTCGCAGACGCTTCGATTCTTCGCCGGCTAAAGGTAAGGTAAGTATTTTCTTAAGTATTTTATGTTAATTAAGTCAAATACAAATTGATTAGTGTCTATTTTGCTTAGATAAGTAAATTTATATTTTGCAGACTGTTTCTCTAATTTTTTATGTAAATCTCTTTGTTTTTTGAATTAATTTCAAAATTTGTTTGGGATAAATATAGATTTCTGCATTTAGAATGTGAATGTTAAAAATATTTTGTAAATTTGTGATTCAGGGTTGACTTATATATTTAAATTGATAATTTGTGGTAAATATACATGTTTTTTGGTTTCTTTTGGGATGGAGAAGATGGAGCTTGGATACAAATTTTTTTGAATTTTTTCATATTTTGTTAATTAAGCAATGCTCATTATATTTTGAAGTTATATGTATGTTAATTTGAATGAATTTTGAGACGAAATTCTTAATAAGTGTTAGTTTCAAAATAATTGAAGTTATGTTAAGTAGAGAGATAAATAGAAGTAATTTAAAATTTAAAATTTTAGTTTTTGTTTGGAGTTATTATTTGGTAGAGAGATAATTAGAAGTAATTTATTGGATATTAAATTTTTTCATATTATACTAATCATTTAAATATGTTTATGTCATAATTGAATTGATGTAGTATTTCATTATGATATTCTCTTGTTAATATTAGTTATAATATTTATAACTTAGGTTTAGGATTTAGAATTAATATAAATTAAAACAAACGTATACTAAGACTTTGTTATTTGTTCGTTTTTTTAGTGAAACGTACGAGTTCAATAATGAGTGGATGTGATGCAACCTTCATGCTACTGTATGGAGGTGAGTTACAAGTGGATGACAAATTCGCACCATGTTATTCTGGGGGTAGGAATCGTCCCTTACATGTGCCGAGAAATATAAACTTAGAGCAGCTTAAGTTAAGGATACTTAGAGCACTTAAGTATGATCCAACAAAGTTTTCTATGAACTTAGTATATCGAGTGTCTGTGGGAAATGAGTTTGTCACTTAACATGTTGAAGATAATGATGTTTGTCAAGTTCTATTATGTCAGGCTGAAACAGAATTTCTCATGTATGTTGATGTCGAAGAGATTAATATGACTGAAGATAATACTGATCCTCCAAATCCACAAAGATATGCAACTTCAACCCAAGTTGAAAGGGTTGATGTTGTCACTGGTCCTTCAAGGGCAGAAGCAGTAGAAGAAGCCCTTCATTAGTGAGTTCCCTATATCTTATATCACTAATAGTTATGTAAAAAATTCTATTATTGATTAATAAATGATAAATAATATTTTCAATGTAGTGATACAGAGAACCAACAGACGCAGAAACCTCCAGTACCGTCTACACAATCAGTCCCTTCAAATCATTATGATTATGAAACTATGAGTAGTGGCTCTAGTGAGTAGTGCTCTGATAATGATGGTGCTGATCTTTTACCAATGGTTAATGATAGAGTTGCAGTTGATAATGAGGAGATAAGAAATGACATCCAAGATTACTGCTCTAGATCAGTCGGCAGTAAAGATATAATGGTGGCAAATAATAACTACGCCGAGACTTGTAGGACTACACAACAATGGGATCAGGAAGTTGACTTTGATGATGTTTATGATGCGGTGATAATGGAGGATGAATTCTCGATTCCTAACGACTTAATTGAAGGAATGTGCTTCACAAAAAAAATTGATATGCAATTTGCATTACAAGGCTGGTCAATTAAAAATAATGTTCAATATATTGTCATCGCATCGAATACAAAGAAATTTACGGTTGCTTGTGCAAAGCATGATTGCCTGGTGTATCCTTGCCTATGGCAGCTTCATTCTACTCAAAGTAAATGCTTAGGCATTATATGGAAAATCTCATATATAAAGAATCAATATACATGTATCTCTCCAATTCTCGAAAGTGACCACCGTCGGTGTAACTCACAGTTTGTAAGTTTCTACATTCTACACACAATTAGAAAGCAGATGGACTTGAAGCCAAGGAAGATAATTGGTCGCATGAAATCGAAGTTTAATATTAAAGTGTCGTACATGAAATCTTATTTAATTACAATATAAATGTAATAGGTGGAATGAGGATCGACTAAGAGAGTTGCTAGTTAGAAATATCATTAGCTATAGAGATGAGCTCGATGGTTTTCTTGATAGTCAGATATCTTCCTAAAGTTTTGAAATGAAAAATTAACTTATTATTTTCAATTCATATAAGTTATTATTGAATACTCAGGTAATTTAGCAGCCATACACGCCTAATATTCATGCTCAGGTCGCACAGATTTGTCTATCAGGGGAGGACATTTGGATTGCACGAGTGCCCATGATTAGTTGGAAGATGGTTGAGTGGCACTTGCCAGATAGAGTACTACGAAAATTTGGATTGTGCCCCACTACTAACGTCCAACCAATGGAACCAAGCTTCAAAAAGGTAGATGGTCGTGGGAAACCAGACATGGACTGGATGTTGTACCACCAAGCCCACATTACCATATGGGAGAGCAGGCGTGGATATATAGTTACAGGGGACCTCCTTAACCAGCATAATGACTACTCGATTCATCACTACATACAGTGGTACAAGTCATGGGCAACACTATACATGTTAAAAGCACTTATTGAGCCTCCCACAACGACATATCCTAGAGCTCCCTCTAAGCGCCTTCTGGTAGGTTCAAATTAAACATACTATAAATTCATTAGATAAATTTTTTGTGAAATAATAACACATTTCTTTTGTTAATTCAGAGGGATTTTTTCCTGGGTACACAACAATAGAGGGACATAAACACAGTGGTAGAGCTTTCTCGTGATTTACGCAGGCAGTTGTATATTCAAGATCAAGGATACTTTGATGATAGAAGTGAGCATGATACACCATTTTCTATGATCCAGGACGCTCCTCAGCATTACAGTGGATATGTTGGACCCTCCTCTTATCCTGATCAAGGGCTCTCAGGGGACCTCTTCAGTAACCAGGTGCCAGCGAATTTGGATACATACCTCATCCCAGATTTTGTACCAAGCTCCCTTCATACAGATGACATAGTTGAGGAAGAAATTGTTGTGGAGGAACATCACATGTTACGTCAAAGGCCACGACAACCTCCACAACATTACACTCCAGGCATTGATGCATTGCATAGAGGCCACGTAGGCGACGCTAGTTCATCTTTTTATGTATTTCATTATGCTTATGTAATGGGTCATTTAAATTATTACCATTTTATTTATGACTTTTTTTTACTTGACTAGTAAAATGCACTCGAACCTATTTAAAATATTTTTCTTATATTTATAATGAAACAGGCATTAACTCTAATCATCCCTATTCAATACTAATTATTATTTTCATTATTCTTAGCATATATAACTAATACATACATTTGTGGTGCCAATCTTTTTATTCTAAAATCTAATTTAAAATAATAATAATAATTAGTTAATGAGTGTTAAATCTAATATCTTTGAATAGTTAAATCTAATATCAAATCTTATAGTCAGAAAAAATTCGATTTACATATTATTCTTACACCACTTGTAGAATTTTTTTTAAAACCTTTTAAACACTACTCATTATTATTATTTTTTTTAATAATAAGGCAAAGTCGTCTATCTAATGGGTGACTTATAAGTCGCTCATTATCTGGACGACTTATTAATATCTAGAAATTCTTTGTCTACTCAATTTAACCGCTAACTGACTCAAGTAATCCTAGTTAGCATATGTTGTATGTTAAACAGATGATTTTGCCTATTTTTAATTTTTTAAAACATGCTTAAAATGTTAATACAATTTATAATTATACTTATTCTTAAAATTTTTCCAATCTATAACAATAACATCAAGTCTTTATCTAACTACATGATGTCGGCTATATGAATCATTTTTCCTTCATTGTATCATATTAAGAGTCAAAGTCTCATTTAAATATAAAAAGGAAAGGTCATTTCTTATATTCTCTAACCAAATTTTTTTAAGTTTACCTCTACCTTTCTTAACATAACTAAAATCAAATATTTGTACTTTTCTAACCGGATCATCAAAAGGCTACCATTTTATGTGACCAAATCATCTAAGACAACTCCCTCTAAACTTATCTTCCACTGGAGCTACTCCAACATTTTCATGTGTATGCTCATTTCACGTACAATCTCTAAGAGTACAAGCAATCAAATAAACTGTGAAAATTGACTGCAACTTAGTACTATAAGATGCACATTGTCGGTTCATACAAACATCTTCATGAACTGCGAAGCCCGCTTTAGTTGTGAAAAGTGAGTGGAAACACTTAGTAGATGCAGAAACATGTCTGGATTACAAAGAAGTTTAATTTATACAAAATAAGCCAACTATACTACTCTGGCTTATGAAGATGATGAAGAATATACAGAGATGCAGATGACAAGAAAATGCAGACGGAATAACTAAGTAGATCAATTCCTGTTGTAATTGCCACCATTTTGCTTCTTTCGAACATCTTGACGAGAAGAATCATGACAATTACATGTCCAACCTTTGTCTTAAGTTCATCAAGCGAGCTTATTTTCATCCACTTTGGTCGCTCCTGGACAAAAAACCCCATGAACAGGTTCAGCACAACTCTTTAGCAAGTTGATAGAATCAAAATCTGATTTTTTATCAGAAATAAGAAGAAATTTTGGTTCAGATGAGATTTAGGCTTCGTTTGGGGCGGCTTTTTTACTACTTCTTAAAGCAGCTTTTTAGTTAAAAAATTAAAATTTTTGTACTATAAAGCTGCTTTAAGAAGCAGTGAGAAAGCCGTCCCAAACGAAGCCTTAGGCTTTCGTTTGGGACGGCTTTCTTACTGTTTTAAGAAACAGTAAGAAAGCCGTCCCAAACGAAACCTTAAAATCCTTGAAATTGCTTTGAAATGAATGCAATATATATAAATATGAAATCAACTCTTATGTGATGCTCATACCAAAATAAATCTTAAGATTTTAAAACTCATCAGGACAAAATTTTGATGAGTATATCCTCACCATTTTCCCCCCTTAAATACTAGCTCTTTATGTTGCAAAGATCCATCAAATGCTGAACTTAAGCTTCGTTTGGGACAGCTTTCATATTGCTTTCTAAAACAGCTTTATAGTATAATAATTTTTAGAATAAAAAAAATTTGTACTAAAAATTGTTTTCAAAAACAGAAAAAAAATATATCTCTTATACATCATAAATAGGTGCATTTGAATCAAAACCCTTCAGAATTTTAAGACAACTATGTTTGAGATACCAAACAATTTGAGCTCAAAAGCATTTTGGTAAAATGATTTAAGCAAATGGGTCAAAAAACATTACATAGAACAAATGAAAGGAGAAACCAGATGGATTGCTTCGTAACTAGAAATTTATTAGAGACACCCTTTTACCTTCAATGTGAACATGCCAAACAAGGAAGACCCTTTAAGAGCACGGTCCACAGCAGGAGGCGCTCCGAGTGGTGAATTGCTGATGAATAGTCCATACAAGCCCATTGCAAATATCAGCATAACCGTACCAGCAAGATAGACATCTGTGGAGAAATAAAGTAGTAAACCCCAACATTTCAATCAAGTTATGCAAATTTTGAGAACAAAACTTCACAGGAAGGGGAGATTGTAAGGACCCGTTTTTAATTTGCTAATTTGAAATATCAAAATTCAATTTTTAGTTTATCAAAATTATTGAATATATTTTGAATTTAATTGAGCTGCCGAGATTAAATTTATTTAAATGGATTAGCTCGTTCGGATCTACTTAAATAGACTAATTTTTCAATACAAATATTTTTTGCTACAATTTTAATAAAGAGATAAAATTAAATTTAAAAATACACATTTTTTTTATTTAGGGGAGAAATGACTAATCGATTCAAGTAAATCAACACAAGGGGATCAATTAACCCTTTCCGAGTCAAATGAGTGAGGGGAAGGGGATGACCGAGCGAGACAGTGAAAAAGAGATCAAGAGCGAGCAAAAGATAGAAAGAGATAGATAGATAGAGAGAGAGAGAGATGCAATGCATGAAACGAAGATAGAGATCGAGAGAGTGAAATGAAGACAGAGTATGGGTGAGAGGAAAGCTAAGAGGGAGAGAGGTGAATGGTTGAGTGAGAGAGAGAGAGAGATAAGGAAGTCAGGCAAGCAAAGATGTATGACTTGGATCCATGATGTCAAGCAAAAGCCACCATTTGGTCAAGAAAAAGGCGAGCAAGCTAGCACATTAATTTCTCTTTTTTTGTCCTTGATATAAACAAATTAAACCTTAATACTATGTAATGCATTTCCCCTTCTTTAAAAGAAAAGATGATAATGATGGGGAAGAAACTTTCCTATGGTTTTTTATATGGGTAAGTTAGATAATATATATATATATATATATATATATATATATATATATATATATAGGATTGCTTTAGAAAAAAACAGAATAGTGAAATTGTTTCATAAAGTTTCATATAAATAATTAAATTATTTCTTAATAATTACAAAGACTATAGGTTATACGTTATCTTTCTTTAAACTAGAAAAAAGGCAATTTTAAACTAAGAATCTCTATGTTATAACTTAATGTACACATTCTCTGAAAGAGAATTAAGTATAAAGCATGGATTTCTTAATACGTATAAAAGATATGCTTTATATTAAGGTTTGAATAAAGATCATTAAAAACCTTCTTGGCAGTATTAATGAAATAGATATAAGCATATGTAATTTAAGAAATTACAAGCAATTTATTTTTATAAGATATAAATTATAATTATAGTCAATATAATGACCTATAATAGCAGAGAATCAGTGTAAATGATTTTTGTTGTAAAAACAACTAGAAGTTTGCTTAACTAAATAGAAATCAAATTTAAGGGAAAAAATAATATTTCAAGTGACTATATTGTGTAGGTATTTTATTCTTTGATTGGGTTTGATTTATAGGATATTAGGAGTAAATAATTGAAGATGAGGATATTGAAGAATAGCATTTGCACATCTCAAGTGGGTAGTTACATTTCTAAGTTAGAGTAATGCCTTTCTTCTTCGAAGACTATTGTATTTGATAAACATGCTTATAGTTCACTTTCCTTGTTTGTTAATCTGTATTATGACAAAATCACTTCACATATGATGTCCAATGAATTTTCTTTTTTATTATTTGATCTGTCATATTGTCAGGAATGAAATATATGTTTTCATGCTATCCCAAGATTTTTTTATTATGTATCTTTCCTCATAAAAATATATTATATATTAAAAGGCTGCAAAATGAAATTATGTATATTAAAGTGTTGGCATGTGCATATTGATATATGGAATTCATCCTTTTATGACACTAGCAGAGAACACTAATATATATGTGATGTTGGTTTTACCTTTCACCTCAAATAATAGTACAAATAAGACCTATGCCCCACTATACCGACGGGGTACATATCAACCAAGGGGCAAGTTGGAGCCTTCCATTTCAAGATATTAATGGGCCCATTCTATGTCCCATTATGCCAAGGAGGCAAGTATCGACCAGGGGTGATTTGGGTTAGACAATGCTCCTAAAGACGAATCAATAAGCATATAGAAATGTATAAGATATATTAAGTTTAAAAAAATGACTAGCATGTATATTGTTTATTTTTCCTTCGAATTACTATGATTTAGAAATATAATTGATCCACTATGTTATATTAGTAAATCACTATTTCTTTAAATTAATAATTCAGAATAAGATCTTTATTCTATAATAGAATGAATTTTGATGATTTAGTTGCTCTTTCAATATGTTGGAAATTATTATTATAAGAAAATGTATGAACATTGATTTTAGTAAACGAAATTTTAAAATCAGTTAATTTTAAAATCAGTTCGACAGAATAGTCCCACATCTATACTCCGAGCTCTTGGGCCAGGTCTTGACAAAGGTGGATAACAGCCAAGATAAAAGCAAGTGTTCGCCTTGAGCAAAAATGCAACGAACAATAATATATAACACAACAAAAAATCTGAAAAGTATAAGCCTCACCAATAGCCTCAACCAATCGAAGGACCATTTGCCCAGTATGAACTCCTTTAAGACAACTTGTCCAATAAACCTTGTATGCATCAACAATGTAAACACATCCCTAATGAAGAAAAAGGACTGTCAGATTAGAACATTTAAAAATACCTTGGAAGTTTATGATATATGTTAAGCATCATTATCTGAAAAGTACAAAAAGTTATTCAAAAGTTTCCATCACAAAATAATCTAACCAAATAACACAACATTATTTTGAAAGCAATCATGATATCACAAACCCTACTAACCTCTATAATTTTGTACTTCAACTTATTTATCTCCTACTAGTCCAACCATATTCTTATTGTTAACCTTTCAATATAGAAAAACATATAATCTTCCCCAATATCCCTGAACTTTTCTGCTTTCTATTTAGTTTCTTTATATAACAATATGCATTCCTCTTTTTCATCATAATGTCCACCAATTCTCTTATCGTCCCATTCAAAGTTTTCAAATTTCATGAGACAAATCTAAAAAATTGTTTTAAGAAGCAACAAAAAAATCATCCCAAACGAAGCCTTAGACAATGGTAAAAAATTGCTTACTTCTCACCAAAATCAGTTTAGATTGAAGTCTTAGCCAATCATTGTCTACGTCTCACCACAATTAGGTAAGATTGTGGTGTGGCACATCACTTCAAGAAAACACCCTAACACTGATAAAATTCAACTATTAAAGTTTACACCTTTTTTTTCTTTTTGGTTTGACATGCATTGTTTGAATGTTGTCAACCTAATATCAACTGTTAAATTAAGGAAGCTAAGTATTAAAATGAAGAAGAATAAAATTGTTGAATAAAAGATAAAGAACTAGAGAGGGGATGATACACTGAATTCTCCCAAGTTAAAAACACCGCTAAACTCTCTATTGAATATGAAAAGTTGAATGTTCCAATTCAATTGTTCATTTCACAAAATAGAGTATTTTAGGACACAGCATGATAATCACAGCAGTTATTGTAGGAAAATAAGATAAAAATTTTCATAAAATCTGAACCTGAATTAAGTGGTGAAATTTCAACCTTTTTTTACTATAGTAAAAAGAGAAGGTTATCAAAGTACAAGTCAAAAATTAACAGAGACATAATAGATACCAGTAGAATGAGAAAGAATTTATTATGAGAACCAAAATACAACGGCAAAAGAGTGGTTCAACTTTCTTAGCAAGTGTTTGTTAGCTTGCTGACAGTTTACCAAATAAATTTCACACACCAAGATGGAAATACAGTGGAAACGTATCCCTATATTGTAGTTTTAATAAAATTATGGAAATCAAATTTAGCATTATGGGTAGATACTTACATTTAGAAAGCACAACAAAGAACCTGCGAGTGAACCGCCAACAGCCAAAAGGGCCAAGAATCGAAAGTCAAATATGAGCTGATTAATAAAAGGAGAAGCAAAGTATTGTCAGTGTCAGTAAGAAAGTACATAAGCATAAATCATAGTTTTTTTATAGTAAAATCCAAAAAAAATGTCTAAAATGCTCTGAGATAAAAATGAAATTTAAAATCAACAGATTCAGGTCCAATGTTTTAACAAGACGAAGAGTGCAATTGGGATTAGCAATAGATTATGAAATTTCATTGGTGCGGTTTAATAGGTTTAATACAAAGGCCATGCACTATCAAGCTCAGATATAGACCTACTATTGAACACATGTGACAAAATATTAAAAACTACAGGACAAGCCTTTATTGCTGTCTGAAATTACACCTTCTCTCTCATCCCTTTTCCTTCTATCTCATATCTTCTCCTTCTTCTTCACTTTCTCCCCTCACCTAAGCTCCTGACAGCCAAGCCCATTGAGAATGAAAGGAAAATGAGGAAATAATGACTGTGCTTACTTTTTTTTTTATTTAATCACACAAAGACGACATATCATTTATCCTTTAATTAATACAATTAAAAGACAAGGTTTGAAGGTAATTTGAAATCATGATAACATAATGACAGTTTGCATCTTCCATGTCAAGATAAAATTCGTATGCTGGGGGCACAGTGGTTATTTGGCTAAGAGAATACAAAGGAAAATTAACGGAATGTTATGGATATAATTGAAAAAATTGCTTAAAACCTAAGTAAAATAATTTTAAAGAAATCATTAAATCATAATTAGATTCCATAAGAAATTTAAATAATTTTGTGCAACACTTGGTGATTAAAATACAGTGAAAGTGAGAAAAAATAATTAAAATAAATCATATTAAGCATTTCACTTAAAATATATAAAATCATTTTAAATGCTAAATGAATATTATGATGCATTATTTATGTTCATAGCACTTCAACTTGGTTGCACCGTTGTAGTAACGTAAATAGATAGGATAGGATTTGACTGGATCTCATAACAACAACCACCCTTAGCCTTAAGGGAAGAATTCCAAGCTCCAAAGGTGGTCGATGGCCCCCTTCTGTCTCTCTATTGTCTTAGCAGACAAGGGAAAACTCAAATTACCTCTCAATTTCTTCTTATAAAGTCTAATTTTCTTCTTATAAAGTAAAATTCTTTGACCTAATTATTTCCTACGTATTCCAAAAACTCTTATAACTCCAATTTTAAATTAATTGTCGATCATACTACAATTATAGAGCTTGGATATATGCATAGCTTAGATGAAGATGTATGAAGAGAGTTCAAGGAAAACTCTGAACTCTCGAGCGTCAAGAGCTCAACAGCTCGTGCAGTCAATTAACTCCGAAGATTGTATTTTAACAAGGTAAGAGCATTGGTGTAATCCTATATTGCTTAGTTGAAAAATATAATGATGTAGATTGTAGGAATATCAAGCTCTACAGATTTAAACTTTTGGTTAAACAGAAAATTTGAGCGTTCTTTCATTAAGTCTAACTCTAATCCCCTTCTGATTCACTCTCTCTAAAAAGCAATCCTCACCATATCATAGGTATTCTCAGTACAAAATATTACTCAACCACTATTGCACATTAGCACTCTGTCAAAATTTCAACAGCCATCCCTAACCCATTATTCTCCTTCATATCCCTTGATCTCTAGCCAAACTCCACGGTAAAAAAAATTGACATTCTATCTCGTGCATGATAATAAAGAGGTTTAACCCAAAATAGAACAATTTTAAATCTTCAAACAGACATGAATATGCGATTTGTCGAATCGATTGGTAAGGGTTTGCATACTTTCTCGATGAAGGATTCCGCAGAGGGAGTGCGTTGGACAAAGGAAGTATCCCCGTTATCGGCAACAAGCTTGTAAGCAAGCCCGTCTTCTCCAAGGTTCGAGCCATCAAGAAAGCGGCCGCTGGTAGAATGGGTGGAGTCGGTCGCGGAAGGATCAGCTACGCTTTCACTGGGAAGATAGGGTGAAGACGATGAGGATCGAAGACAAGTGATGGGAAATCGACGAACACCGCAAGGATTCAAGAATAGACAGCGAGATGAAGGCCGAATCGACAAAGCGCAATAGGCCAGCGGGGTTCCGAGCGCGGCAGCCATGACGCCGGCTCTCCGAGATCTTCGAGGTCGAAGAATCACAGCAGATGAGTTATGAGGGCTGGCTTTGACTACCGCTGTCGTCAAGTACTCGCGCACATTTCTTTCGTCAGCACCCTCCAATGCGCCTTCTCTAGCTGCACGGCTCTCGCTTCACCGTTTGCGTCTGCTGTGAGCCACATGAAAGTTTTTTTAAAAAGGCAGGCGAGCGAATCTCGCGAGATATTTTTTTAAAACAATAGACAAAACTAATATAGCATAATATTATAATATATATCTATATTTACAACGGGCCTATATTGTGATTGAGTTATCCCTCAAATTTAGAAGAAATTATACTAGATTCGGAGGTCAATTAAAATACGTCACATTAGTAGTACCGAGTCACAGTATCAAATAATACCGAGCGAAGCGAAACAGTGACGTGGGGTATTCTGATTCGTTTCCGGACGGCATTCAGCATCCGTACAGAATAATTAATCCAAATTTAGAAAAAAAATTATAAAATGGGGATGAGACCTATAATATTTTATGATGTAAAATATTATTCATTAAAAAGAATGATAAAATTAAGTGTTACAGAGATGAGAGTGATTTATACTTATTTGTAGTAGTTTCGCTTTTGAGAGATATGATGTTAATCGAGTATATATGTGAAAAGTTGGATTAACTCTAGTGTCAAATAAGATTAGAGAGTTGATTGATATAGTTTGGTCACATAAAATATTGACTTTCTGATGATCTGATTAAGAGAGTTGATCTATTTGATATTTTGATTTGATACATGTTAAGAAAGATAAAAATAGACCTAAAAGATTTGTGATTTGACTACAAGATATTAGAATTTATATTTTTATTTATTTCTAAGTGACTATTTGGTTGAAAGTAAAAAGAGTATAAAATATTCTTAATACACAGGTTTTGAAAATTTTGACGTTTAATTCGATAAAAAAGAAATGCAAAAATAAAATAATGCAGTGTAAATTATTTTAGTTCATTTTTTAGATAAACAAACACCCATCTTTAGCGAGAATAATTTACACCGCAAATAAGTTCCCTTGGCCTCGTCACCACCCTTCATCAACCACCCGCCACCAACAACCACCATCGTTGGTCGTCCCATGCACTTTTTTTTTTATAATTTACATTGCATTCAATTTACTTCAAAACAAATAAAAAAATAAAATCTTGCATTTCTTTTTTAGACCATCTCCAACCGTTCGGCAAACAGCTAAATGGAGGCCCTCAAACGTCGCAACCGAACGTCATTTCTTCCGTCATTTAATCGCAGTTGAACAGTGCAACGCCAATATTGGCGTCGCACTGTTCACTTGCGTCATTTCTTTCTCTCTACCGAACTCGCCTGAGAAAGGCGCGAAAGAAACAAGCGGTGGTTTTGGGGCAAAACGGCGTTCCACTGAAGATGAATCACGACACTTTTTGATTTTACTGTATTTTGTAGTGAAAAATGAGAATTTCGGTTAGAGATGCCCTTAGTCATCCAAATAACTCCAAAAAAATCATTTTATATTGCATTATTTTTTCAAGCAATCAAACAACCCCTTAGATTTTCGTCTTTGTATAAGCTTTTATAATCTTGTCATTTTTTTAGGAACATTTGAGTAAATTAAGATAAATTCACACATAAATTATGTAATTAAATTTTGAATCTAAAATCTAGTGTGGTAACAAAAACTCCTAATCAACAAAATCAAATGAACTATCTTATCATATATTTGATTATGTGTTTTTCCCCTAATAATTTTTTTGTCGCGTTGTAATCATTAAATATCTTTTGTATTTCTTTTTTATATCTTAAATTTTTGGGATTTTTACATACCTAACACCTAAAAATGTTTAAAATACAAATTTAACATCTAAACTAACCTATTTACTAATATACCACCTAAACCACTCATTTTAAATCAATTATACCACTCCGTCTTCGGACGTTCGCTCCGTTCATCCCGTTCGTTTCGTTCATCCCCTTGTGTTCACCACTTCAGGAAGTCCGCCTGTCCGCCACTTCACAGTCCGCTTCACAGTCCGCATCCTCGTTCGTGAGGACTTCGCCTTATCCTGATTTACTGAAGATGCTTTGGATTAAAAGACAGTGGCTAAAGACATGAAGAAGGGAATTAAAGAGTTGTGCATAAAATAGAACTAAACATTAATAAAAGCAGAGCAGACGAATCAGAATTAAAGCATATTTCGACTGTGTCCAGAGATGCTTTCCGATTCATAATTTTGTAGCTTATTCTACAGAAACTATTTTGTCGCTAATTCAAGTGGAGAAGACGCGAACTGTGCGATGAAGAAGGGAAAAAAAGATCGATGAAAAAAGACGCTAACTGTGCATATTTCGGCCAACCATCGCTTGTATGAAAAAGTAAAAAAAAAAAAAAGCAGAACCAGACTAGATGAACTGAACCAGACGCGAACTTTTTCATGCCTGTATCAGATGCAAAGCTGAACAAAAATTCATGGAGAGCATGTTTGAGAACAAAAATCCATGCCTGAATCAGATGTCGAAGCTGTGAATAAGACGAGCAGGTGGGATTTGCGAACGGTGTGATTCAACCAGAAGTTCGCCAAGCAGATTGATTCGCAAATGAAAGGCATGTGTCGCACTAGATTCGCGAACTGTGTGATTCACATCAAGAGAAGAAGCTGCTCTACTGAGTTACAGTTTCCAGCCCTCTTTCGCGGTTTGGTGTTGACGGAAGGCGACGGGGAGGCAACAGAATGTTATTTTTGATGAGAATAAGGGTTTCAAGTGTTAACACCACTGATAAGTTTTACAACTTATATAAGCAAATACGCTTATAACCACTGCTCCACCTTCTCTTACAGAGCATCATTACAAGTAGTGGCTCGCTGCCACAGCCGCCCATCTGCTCTGTTATTCCTGCCATTATAACGACCTTTGATACTTTCTCTTATTATATAGCTGAATGTACTCAACATGAAACTATTAGTAAAAAATGAAAACTATTCAGCTGCAACTCATACCTTCGTCTTCTTCCATCTGCTCTTGTTCTGTTTTTATCTAACAGTTTCTCTGCAGGTTTCTTCATGGTATCAGAGCCACCGGATTAATATCCTCCCCCGATCGCTCATTCTCCGATGGCTGACAGTCAGACCTCTTCTACTCCTCAAGTCATCTCTACAGCACCTACAGTGGATATCACCATTCCAGCTCCATTGAAGTTCATTATCTCGAACATCAAGCACATAGTGAACATCCAGCTCAATAGCGACAATCACGCTATCTGGAAGTTACAGGTTCTAAAAATTTTTTCTGCAAACGGATTTGACGGCTTTCTCAATGGTCTTGAAGTATGCCCACCAAAACACATTGCATCTTCCCCTGGCAACATTACGCTGAACCCACTCTACCAAACTTGGCAACTAACTGATCAAAATCTCTCAGCCGCACTGTTCTCTACAATCTCTCCAAGTATACTTCCATATGTGCTTACCCTGCAAACAACCCATGAGATATGGGATTCTTTAGAGAAACGGCTGCAACCAACTAATCGTTCGAGAGTTATACAACTCAAGAACGAGTTGTACCGTATTGAGATGAAAGATCTCACTGTGAATGCATACCTAACTCACGTGAAAACCTTGGTAGATAACATCGCAGCGGCTGGATCAACCGTGGAACCAGAAGACATCATCCTTCATATACTGAATGGCTTGCCTTCGTCTTACAATGCCTTTAAGACTGCCATTCGCACTCGTCCCTCCAGCATTCCACTCGACGAACTCTACTCCTTGCTACTCAGTGAAGAAATTAACATCCACAATGATCAGTCTAAGGATGCAACTGCTGCTGCAGATTCAGTTGCACTCGCAGCCTTCAAAACACCAGCTGTTCGAACTGCTCCAGTCGACCAACTAAAATCACCGCGAGGCCGTTTCAACTCAAACAGGGGATCTGCAACGAGAAATTTCAACTCTACCAACCGACCACCCCACAACACCTCTGCTCCTCGCGTCATTTGTCAAATTTGCAACAAACCAGGTCATATCGCAGCACAATGCTGGCACCGAACCAATCTCCAATACACGCCTACAATCCCCAATCAGCAGCGCAGCTTTTTTACAAACCAGCAGACTGCACCTCAATCAGATTGGTACTTGGACACAGGAGCATCCAGCCACCTTACTTCCGACCCTCTTCAACTGCAACACCCTCAACCTTACACCGGAAGTGATAGTATTTCTATTGCCAACGGTGCATCTCTCCCCATTCAATCTACCGGCCAAGGCTTACTTCCCTTGCCCAACACCTCTCGTAAGTTATTCCTTCAGAAAATTCTACACATCCCTTCCATTACACACAATCTTTTATCTATACAAAAACTCACATCTGACAACGATTGCTCTATTTGTTTTGATGCTCTCGGCTTCACTATAAAGGACAATCGGACTCATCAAACTATCCTTAGAGGTCACAGTCGTGACGGACTCTATGTCATTCCCTCCACATCTTCCTCGGCTCTACACAGCCAGCACCAATCTACCACTACTTGGCACGCCAGATTGGGACATCCTCATCTACAGCTTCTACAATACTTAGCTAGGCACATTTCAAATATTTGTATTTCCAGCAACTCTAGTTTCCAATGTGACTCATGTAATGTGGCCAAAAGCCACAAACTACCCTTTATTTCTAATGAAATGACAGTTTCTACTCCTTTTGCACTTATTCACTCCGATGTTTGGGGCCCTGCTCCACTTCCTTCACTAAATGGTTATACATACTATGTAGTATTTATAGACGATTATTCCCGCTTCTCATGGCTCTATCCAATGCGCACAAAAGCTGAAACAATCCTTAAATTTCAACATTTCTTTAATCTAATAAAAACTCAATTCAATGCCACCATTAAAACTCTCAGATCCGATGGAGGTGGCGAATATCAATCAAAAAACTTTCAAACTTTTCTCTCTAATCATGGAATCCAACACCAAATGAGCTGTCCATATACTCCAGAGCAAAATGGACTTGCTGAATGCAAACATCGACATCTAATAGAAACTACCCGCACTCTGCTTCACGCTGCTCACCTACCACTTAAATTCTGGATGGAAGCTCTCCACACAGCCAATTACCTCATCAATAGGCTTCCCTCCACTGCTATACAGCTCAACACCCCTTATTTCCTT